TTTAGCAAGATAACTCGAGAAGCAGTGGATGGATTGGAATGAAACTTGGTAGGTGGGTAGGTCTTCATGAGACCTAGAAATGATTAGATTTTGGGCCCCCTGGCGGCTTTCCTAGGTACTGCAGCTGAACTTCCGGTTTCGATATCTCATGTTCTGGACATGCTAGGGTCACGAATTTTGGTTGGTAGATAGCTTTGGGGGTAGGGAAGAAGTGACATGAGATTGGGTCCCCTAGCGCCTTGTTCTGGAACTGCAGGAGCATTTGTTGAAAAAAATTTGAAGGACGATAACTCAAGATCCGGTTGACGTATTATCGTGATTTTTGGCATGTATGTAGTTGAAGTGATGCTTGACATAATCAGATGGCAATTATGCAAATCAGGAGCTAATTTGCATAATTAATGAGGAAATTCTATAAATCTGCTTTGTTCGATAATAGAACTATTAAACACTTGTGACATCTACTTGAGAATGAGAAAAACATCTGAGGATATAGATTATGTAAATGAGAACCTAATTTGCATAATCAATGGCAAATTCTTATAATTCCATAGTTGTCACTGCTGCACCCAATTTCATACTTGCCACATTTGGAAGTTAAGTGAAGTGAAGTGAAGATCAATAAACATAATTTATTCAAATCATGACCTCATTTGCATAATTTATGAGGAAGTGCTATAATAGCCTTTTTGTTATGATAAGGCTGTCATTGGATGGAGAATATGATCAACTGATATAATCCATGCAAATGAGGCTCTTATTTACAAAATAAATGATTAAAATTGTATAATTTATCACCCGCAAGAGTTAACACCATTTGGCGAAGGTATGAGATCGTGGAACTCTTGTTAGTCTATGTATTCCCTAGCCAGACTGACAAGTTAGTTAGGCTGAAAAATGGTAAAAAGATATAGCTAAATAGGGAGAATAATTTGCCAGTGCCAGGGGTGTTTGACGGTCACAATCCATGCAATTGCAATATCATTAATTGTAGTGCTGCACATTTCTTTGCTGGCCGACGCAAAAATACAATGTTCCAGAAGTGGTCTGCACTCTCCGAGTCGTACTTTACTAACAGCAGTTTTGAAGATGTTGGGCCAAAAACTTGTCAGAGGCCACCAGACATGTGTTCAAATAGCCCAAAAAAGTAGGCGTACTCTTCTCTGGGCACCGCTCTTCTCTTCTTTTGTCTCCAGGCACTTGACTACCGGGTTTCGTTTACCAAGCGTGACGTTGTTTCAAACGTCCACTCTGGACACAAACCCTTCCCCAACACATGGCGGTCAGGCCATACTGTCCAAACTTATATCCGGTGTTTAATTGTAGTGCATATAGGTCTCCACGCTCCAATTGGGCGACATTTCAACGGGTGTATCAGATCACTAAATAGCCTCTCCATTGCTAAAGCACCCGAGGCAAAATGATATCAGACAAATGGAGTCGACTATTATTGCATTATGCGCTAATCCTTCAAAGGATTGAAGCCGAAAAAAAAACAGTCAACCAGTCTAACAAAACCAAGAACCAAAGAGATTGAGGTGTGCCGGGCACTGTCACATCGTATCATCTAACTTGTAAAGAGATATATACATGTAACAGTTAATATACGTCCTTGTATAGACCTGAAATAAGACCATATCTCTGAAGGTTTCCCGAGTCACAGGTGGTCTTTTTATTAGGGGGGGGGGGTTAAGTGATCGTGTAACATTCATTTATTTATTTCACATTCAATACCTGGATTGGTAATTTTTAAAGTCTTTCAACCTCCGTAACTCGCGAAGAGCAATTCATTTTTCGCAATAGCTCTCATCGTAACAATGGATGTT